AGAGTGAGAGAGAGAGGGAGAGAGCGAGAGTGCATGGGGTACAGTTTTGGAGGTTTGCTCAGGAAGGAGAAATTCCTAGTCCTACCTTTTGTTTATAGCAAACGTACCATGTTTATTGACTGGCATCTGAGAGCTACAGTTGGAAGTTCAAACTCCAGCCTTTAGTTGCTCAAAGGACAAATCTATTGTCTCTACTCTGCACCCATCCTAACTCCTGGATTCTTCTTTCTATCCCTCTCTACTATGTACAAACACCAACGAGACCTGGGGAATTAGATCGTCATCTAGTCAGTCTTGAACTAAAGAACTGGGTCTCTGTGGTTACTTCTCCCACCCCCTTTTGCAGCTTGTGGCTGACCTTTGTGAATGAATTCTCCAAACTCAGCGAGGGCTGTGGTGTTGAACTCCTCAGGACCAAAAGACACCGTTGGGATCTTGATGGCATCTGTCAGGATCATACAACCAGAGGTGGAAGGTCATAGATGACAACAAACATTAGTTTTCTCGTGGCCCTCTGTGCACGAGTTCTTTTACATGTATTATCTTGTCATGGAAGGCAAACCATCCTGGAAAGTCAGCGCTGCTGCTGTGCCTAATTTGAAGGTGAGGAAACACGCTGAGAAGTTAGGTGGACTGTTGTCCTGAACTGAGCAGCAGAACTGGTATCAGCAACTGAAACTCTGGTTTTGGGGTTCACGTAGGCTAATGTGGCTCTTAAAAAAAAAAATCCAAGCTCTCCCTGGTGGCATAACGGTTAAAACACTGCACTCTGAAACTCTCTGGAGTCACTGCTGTGCAAGTTTGATCCCCGGCCAGGGAGCTGACCCACATGGCGCGGCAGACCTCTCCTGACCCGCCCGCTGCTCCCCTCAGCAGTGAACTTCGTCAATCTGCCTGTTCTGCTCCCCACTCTGTCTCTGGTGAATCCTCTCACCCCTCACACCTCTGGCCTGTACCCCAGTTCTATAAGCATAAACAAATCTTTAAATAAACAAAAAAGGTCCAAGATGGGCGAGGAGGTGGAGAGAGTAGGTTTCGGACTCTGTCTCTGATTGGGAAGCTGCTCTAAATTGCTTCCTAAGGCTTTACTGAGCCTGTGAAGTCACCATCCTGCTGACGAGTCCACAGACCCCGCTGTCCTGGGGCCCTTGTGAATGAGGCTTTTGTGTCCTGATACAGGCTAGTCTTCATGGGTTGGCTCATCAGAGTGTCTCTGACCTCTCAGCCAAGGCCTGCTTGTTTGTTTTATTTTTGGCATGTGATGCCTGGGACCAGGGGTGTAGAAGCTCCCCCCAAAGCTTCTCAGTCCTAAATAACCTCACCTGTCCTACCCAGATGTCTGTTCCTTGGGTAATGACTTGCTGTACTCTTTTGAGCCTGGATAGTGTTAATCTCTTAAAATGTTTCAATATCAAATGCAAACATCATTGGGACAGAAAACATAATGAATCATGAGAATATTTGCAAGTGTTATCAAAGGACATAGAGGGGGAAAACACACTTGGGACATTTAGGTTTCAAGGACTGTTGGGAGATAAATTTACTTCTTGACTCAGCTTTGCTTAGGGTTAACCCTTCATCTGAGTGGATCATATAGGTGGGCAAGCTAAGATTGAAAAAGAGAAAGTAAACTGCCTTAGTGAGAGGCAGCCCCAAGATCGAAATCAGACATTTTACCCCTGGCACAGAGTTCTAAGCTCTACTGTCATAAGGGGCCTACTTTAGGCTTTTATGTAGCTTCTGCTTTCTTCTGCGTGAAGACTGGAGTGACTGTCCTCTTTTCAGAGATTTGCCTCCCAGGCGTCTGCCTCCACAGCTTAGTTTATACACAATTACAGGGGTTGGCTTCTGGTCCCTGCCTCTGCTTGGAAGAGCAGGCACTTTCTTTTAAGCCATTACTTGATGAAAGGAAAAAAGACTGGAGCTAAGCCCAATGTTGAGGACACAGCTTATTATCGACAAGATCTAGCATGCAACAGAAACTTCCTTCTGGAAATTGCAGGAGAGGGAGGTAAATGAGGATAAAAGGAGAGATGTCATTTAAATAGGAGAGGACATTAGGAAACCCCCACACTCCAGGAACACCCTCACATTCATTTCTTGTAGCTTTTGGGAGCTCAGCGATGGTACAAGCCTTAGATGTTGTCATCCAGAGCTCAGCTCCTTACTGTGGGATTCTGGGATCATTTGTCATTTAGTTTTCTCTTAAGATATCACAGGGATTTTACTCAAATAAAAACTTGCTAACATTAAAAATGAAACTAAGGGCCCTCCCTGGTGGCGCAATTGGTTAGAGCGCAGCACTATGAAGCTACCTGCAGTCACTACGGCACAATCCCTGGCCAGGGAGGTGACAGACCTCTCCTGCCTCACCTGCTGCTCCCCTCAGCACTGTGCTTCAGTAGATCTGCTTGTTCTGCTTCCCACTCTTTCTCTGGTGAATCATCTCACGGCCCCTGCACCTCTGGTCTGTACACCAGTTCTGTATGCATAACTTTTTTTTTTTTAAAAGGGCCCTCCCTGGTGGCACAGCGAGTTAAAGCACAGCAATATGAAGCTCTCCACAGTCACTGCACCAAGAGAGTTCCATCCCCACCAACCTGGGAAGTGATCCACATGGCACAGCAGATCTCTCCTGTCTTGTTCCATGTTCCCCTCAGCAATGTACTTCGTCAATCTGCCTGTTCTGCTCCCCACTCTATCTCTGGTGAAGCCTCTCCCTGCCCCTGCACCTCTGCCCTGTACCCCAGTTCTATATGCATAAATAAATAAATCTTTTAAAAAATTGACAAAGGGTGAAGTGTATATGTATATATATACATATATATGTATATATACACATATATATGTGTATATATGTGTATATATATATGTATATATACACATATATATGTGTATATGTATATATATACACATATACATGTATACATATACATACATACATATATATAATATATATAATACACACACACACACACAAACACAGAAACTAACAGCTGTTGAAATACTGAAGGCAAGCAGGTAAGCAGGGTTGTCGAAGTCAGGTCTCACCCAAGACAGGCAATGGATTGGGGGGCCGGGGGTGGGGGGGCGGGCAAAGGTGCCGAACCAGCTGCGGGAGCTGGAGGGGTCCACAACGCATCGCGTGGAGATCCAGCTGGAGGGGGACCCTCTCTGGCTGGAGAGGGAAGACACGAGAGCCGAGGCGCGGAGGACTCACATCTGAACTTAGGTGGGAGGGAACCGGGGCTCACCTTTCAGCGCCTCTTTCATCGCGAAGCGCTCCTCGGGGCTGAACTCGGAGGGGATTCGCGACGCCCCCTGACGCTCTTTGCCCCGCAGGCCCATTGATCTGGAGACGATGGAGATATTTAGCAGAAGCACAGTCGCCAGGACCCGCACACAAACGAACGCCCTAGCCATATTCTCAAGTCCCTCCTGCCAGACAGCTCCTGGAGTTTGAACCCAAGTCCCAGGAACGTCCTCAGCTTGTCACAGTTCTAATTCCCGCAAAGGTCTCAGCCCCACCCCATTCCCCACACGGCCAATCATAGCTTGACCCTGGCTGTGAGCGACCAATCGAAGGAAAGGCCCCGCCCCCGGACAGCCAGGCCTCCAGGCAGTTGTGGTTTTCCAGCTGCTGCGGCCAAGCGAGATAAGAGCCTCACTGGGCAAAGGTCGCCTAGTGTCAGCGCTGATTTTCGGCTTTGAGATACTCGCAAATCTTTGCGTGACGACTGGGCACATTTTATGTTGTAAGCAAAATAAAATGAACGAAGCTTATCCGTCCTCATACTGCTTCTTTAAATGCTCAGGACTTGACTACGAGAACGTTTGCATTCCTCAGAGCTTCTCCCCTCGCTCACTCCCCTCCCCTGCCTGGAGCTTGATTTATCTAAAACTAAACAGTTTTACTCAGTGTGTACACATTGCTTTGAATTTTCAGAGTACAGGGCTTGTCCCTGTTTAGGAACTTCGTTGAAAATGATTTTGATATTAATTAACATTGCATTTTTGCAACATTAAGACCCAGGATTTTTAGAAAGTCTATATAGTAATAACTTTGGTATATTCATCAGTCCGAAATTTCATAGCCATTCAGAATTGATCAGAATAGATCTTTTTTTTTTTTTTTCGGAGAAGAAAATTCTCTCTTGGGACACAACTATAAAATTAGGTTTCTTGGACCCAGAATTAGCTGTTGTTTTTTTTTTCCCCAGACTCCTTGATGTGTTTTAATCTGGCAACACTCACATTTTAGAATTCTCTAGAAAAATGGAATAAGCCACTGTATAGCCAGCAAGATCATACAACTGTAACAGGGGGGTCCCTGGGAAAATGGGAAGTTCCAGGTGTTTTGCCCCAACTTCTGTGACCCGCCCAGGGAAAGACAGACGAAATGAGCAAACAATTTATTGCTCTCGGACAGCAGCTGAGACAGAGCCCAAGAGTAGGGTTCGCAGCTACTGCCACCCTTCTGGGGGGAAGTGTCTCATATAGGTTTAAAACTTGAATTCCAAAGAGGTGATTAATCGCTATGTCCCTTGATGTAAGGCCCAGTTCATGATCACCTTCATCTAGTCCCATCGCTGATGCAAGACCCCGTTAATTGGATGCAGGCCTCCAATTTATTACCGTCTTATCACCTTTGGATGCAAGGTCAGATTTATTACTGCCCTATCTGGTCCCTCAGTAAATCTCCGCATTTGGTCACTCCCAACATTCCCCACTTTTTCTTTAGTTAGGAAAAGGGGCGTAGTTTCTCCATGGCTACTTCCTGCATGACTTGGGGACCGTGGACTTCTGCAAAGGAATATAGGGGACCGTGGGGTGTAACAGGAGATGATTTACTGTGATCTTGGTTAGAGCCTGCACCCGTGCCATTAAAAAACAGACCATGCGGCCCTCCCTGGTGGCGCAGCGGGTTAAAGCACAGCACTAAGAAGCTAAAGCCACTTCCGCATGAGTTCAATTCCCGCCTGCCCGGGAGGAGATCCACATGGCGCGGCAGACCTCTCCTGACCCGCCCGCTGCTCCCCTCAGCAGAGTACTTCGTCCATCTGCCTGTTCTGCTCCCCACTCTGTCTCTGGTGAAGCCTCTCACCCTCCACATCTCTGGCCTGTACCCCAGTTCTATATGAATAAATAAATAAATCTTAAAAAAAAAAAGACCATGCATGGGGCCATAGTAAAGAGGGCTATGATTGATATTAAAGGACCTAGTAGAGGGACTAGCTAGGATAAGAGAGGTTGTTGCAGCCATCCCCAGAAGATATCTCTTTTGGTGTTGGATTCTCTGATGTTTTGCGTAGCTTCGCCACATTTTGTTCCACCTTTCCCGAGCTGTTCACATAAAAACAGCATTCTTCATCTAAAAAAGACATGTTCCACCCTTTTCGGCTGTCAGGAGGTCTAGGGCACGTCTATTCTGCAGCACTACCGAGGCCAGAGAGGTTATTTGTTTTTGCAAATCCTCCACAGCATCTGCAGCTAAGTCAAGTGATACCTGCACCTCGTTTTTTAGTGCTTTAAAATCTCTCATTTCTAGTGCTAGACTGCTGGAACTCACCGCAAGTGTGGTGACGGATGAAGCCAAGGCCAAGCCTACCAATACAGGAATGAAAGCTGCCCTCTTTTTCCTATTGTGTAATTGCTGGGCCTCTTTCATCTCTCCTTCCGTGAGTAACGTGAAAGAGGGTATGACGTAGGCTGGTGACCAGGTGTCAGCCAAACTGCAATTGGGCTGTGGGGCTAGCCATCCCTCTGCCCATACTACATGTACCTCTGTCCGGTTGCACGCCACTGGGGTGGAATTTAAGGGGAGAAAGGAAGGGAAAGCAATCGGCCAGGAGAGTTTTAGGTTCGAAGGGGCAGACACAGTCTTTTTTCATACTGCCGCAAAGGCATTAGACTAGAATGCAGCACAGAGAAAGCAAGAATGATTAGTAATTATGTTAAGGTCGGAAAGCATATGTGCAGTGTCACTAGCTAAGGATGGCCATGTAGGCTGTGCTAATGCTGTTTTGACCTTTTGACTGTGTTGTCTGATGCGGTCATGCGTTGCCTGTATTGTTAATAGGTTTTTTTTGCTGTTTCATCCACCTGCCATACTTTTGTTATGGTCAAGACTGCATCGGGGGTCTTAGAAAATTGGTTATCATAGAATCCCATGTCTACTCCCTGTTCCCATTCTGGCCTCATGGGGTCAGTGATTTGGAGGGTAAATTGATGGCATGATCATACCAAAAGGTGTTTTTCTTAAGGGTTGTTATGGAACCATAACCCTGATGTTGACCCCTTCTAACACACGACCACCATGGACACCCAAGGTAATTTTGGATATCTATTTTTACAAGATTGATCCGTTTGGTCGATAGGGGAGCAGAGATAGGCTAATGTAGTCCAGCCTGCTGGGAGGTATTGAGTACCATCCCAGTGAATCAAAGGAGCGTGCCCCTTCGATTGATCCCAGAGTCCTTGCCCAACCAAATATGAGTCTGTAGTTCCCTGTGGGCTGGCTTTATGGATAGTTAGTCGAAAGTTCCAATAACCAGGAGTATCAGGAGAAACGGAGGATGAGTAAGTAAGTGAGGACAGAAAAGAAAGCAGAATATACAGGGTCAAAATCCATAAATGTAGGAATTCACATTCCACATGATCTCTAAACAGGGTCCAATTCTGGAGATCGGGATGCAGTGCTGGAAGAACTGTTTTCAGGAACTGGGTCCAGAGGAGATACGCGTCAGGAGAGACGAAGTGTTGTGGGTCCAGTGGATGTAACTGACCATGCATGTGTTGGTCCTGTAGAAAAAACTCGAGAGTTATGAATCCATTCTGATTTTCCCACCACCTTAACAGCTGATGGTGTGGATAGGATCACTACATGTGGTCCTGTCCACTTTGGCTTAAGTGGCTCCGGGTGTAATGTCCTGACATGTGCTACCTCCCCTATCTGGAAGCCTCTGCCTCCACTTTGTGTTGTCTGTGGAGTGCACTGGTCAGCATGTTCTCTAAGCAGTCTGTGCCAGAGCTGTGGGAGAGGAAGCATCGAAACAAGGGGTCCTGGATTTGCTGGAATGGGAGATTGTAAGAATAGTCTCCCATACGTTAACTCAAAGGGGGACAGAGCTGTACCCTTCGGGGGGAGGGGGGGCTGTACGGATCCTCATTAGTGCCACCGGAAGGTTACGTACCCAATCTGTATGAAGTTCCAGGGCCAGCTTAGTAAGTTGTGTCTTTAAAATCCCTTTCATACATTCTACTTTGCCAGAGAACTGGGGTCTATAAGGGATATGTAGTCTCCATACTATGCTTAAGCCTTAGTCATACTATGCTTAAGCCTTAGTCAGCCTTAGTTGTGTAATGTTAGAGATAAAGGCAGGCCCATTAACTGATTTAAAGATCTTGGGAGGCCAAATTGAGGAAGAATGTCTGTTAAAAGATGATGACATAGCGTGGCTGAGTCTTCCCTAACTGTGGGAAAGGCCTCTACCTACCCTGTAAAAGTATCTACAAAGACCAGGAGGTATCGATATCGTTTAACCCTGGGCATATGGGTATAATCTACTTGCCAGTCTTCTCCTGGCCATGCCCCTCTGTATTGGTGGAGGAGGGTGCAAATTGCAAATGTGGGTTAGCTTGTAGGCAAATTGTGCACTGAGCAATAATTTCCTGTATTTTTGTACTGAGCCCTGGACAGGTCACCAATGGGTGCAGAAGGGAGGACATGGCAGAGTACCCAATGTGAAAAGCTTGATGTAGGGATCTAATCCAGTCCTTTGCTTGTAATGAAGGGAGGATTAATTTATTTTTGGAAGAGTGTATATACCATCTCTCCTTTTTCTCAAAACCTGCCTGTTTGTATGCCTTTTCCTCCTCTGGGGTGTAATGGGGGGCTTCTTCCGTGTCTGGAAGCATAAGGAGGAGCTTAGGGGTCGTTGGGTCTGTGGTCAGGGCTGCTTTTCTTGCTGCCTGATCTGCCATATCATTTCCCTGTGCCCACCGGGCATGTCCGTGACCATCCAGGAGTGTGAATAATTGCGATTGTGGCAATTGGAGGACCTTTAGCAACTGGTGAGTAAGTGGGTCATTGATAACTGGTTAGGAAACTCCTATTCTCCCAGATTTGTCCATGATGATGAGTGATGGGGTAAGTATATTTCGAGTTGACACATTTTCCCTCAGATAATTGTAAAGCCCTTGTTAAGGCAATTAATTCAGCCTGTTGGTTTGTGGTTCCTCCCAGTAGGGGCTGTGCCTCTATGATCCTGTCCACTGTGGTGACAGCTTATGCAGCTCGAGGCGGGTCCCCACAAACTGAGCCATCTACGTGCAGACACCCTGCGTCCTCTAGAGGAGATTTCCCAAGGTCAGGCCGGGGTCGCTGGGCCCTCTCTACTTCCTGAGTACAGGAATGTAAAAGG